TGCATCTTATATTCAACGTAACACATTGTGTGAAGGTCGCGCTGCAAACTGCTTAGGATAATGGATTTAGTGGATCGTGTTAACCCAACCTGCTAACGCTGCATTGTGTATCCGTGTTMGCCACGTTTGATGGAGTGACGGCACTTCCACTCGGCTCTTTCCATCACGGTGATGAACGCTCTCCTGACTCAGTAACGGCGGGACGGACCTGCAGCTGAATCATTCGTAAAATGGAGAAAGAGGAAAAAGTCACGACTAGAAAAGTGTCCACTCAGCTTGTTTAACACTCTGTTCTCTCTTCAGATCGTACCTGGTGACCCCCTGGACAGGAGCATCGTGATCAGGCCTCTGGAGCCCCAACCTGCCCCTCACCTGGCCAGAGAGTTCATGATCAAGACCAGAAGGCGCAAGGTGAGCTTTACGAACACCTGTTAGCCCCGTTTCAGTTTGAATAATTGAAATGTTTGCTTGATAATTCATGTACTGGGATTAACGTGTACTTGTTTGTTTTTTATTTTAAAAACACCCAAAAACAGACGGTTATTCTATTTTTGTTTTATGCTCCAAAAATGGGAAAAATGTCCTTTTCTTCATCGTCAAACCGGACGTTTAACACTGTTGTTATGGCAACTGTCCTGTGGAACCTGCTGCGACAAAAGATCCTCATCATGGACCTCCATAGAAAACAGCTAAAAGCAGCAGAAACTAGTTAATGTTTATTTATTGCATCTGCCTGGTTAGCTGGTTTATAGCAATAATTTTGTTTTTTTAGCTGGTTATACAAATTAAGGTGGAGCTAGATAATTTTTATTTATTTTTTAAATTAGCTAGATATATTAATAAAAAAATAGCCTTCAGTTAGTTAAAGAAATGCAAAAGTAGTTAGCTAACATTTATTTATTTACTGGCCTGTTATAAAAAGTATATTTAACTGGCTCCACCTTAAATGGTCCAATAACGGTGGTAAACTTACGGTTTGAGAAAAWTAATTTCCCGTTTTTGGAGTATAAAATGAAAACAAAATAACWTTTTGTTTTTCAATATCTGTTTTTAAAAAGAAAAGCCAATGACCAAAAAGTGCACGGAGCGGTAATATATCTCCACGTGTTGCTCTGCAGGGTTTGAGTGAAGATGTGAGCATCAGTAAGTTCTTCGATGATCCCATGTTGTTGGTTCTGTCCAAACAAGACGCCGTGCTTAATTATCCCATGTGAGGCCAAGTTGACTGCAGCTGAAAACACSTCCGACCTCTACAGCTGAGATTTTGGGTAAAAAACATATAATTCTTCACAGAGCTCCACAGCTGAGGAGGATTTACTTTTTAAGTTTGTTTCTTCTCTTTCTTGTACTTATTTTTTTATATGTACAAAATATTTMTTGTTTTTGTAGAATAAAATGGGTTTGAATTTAAATGTTCCATCTGGCGTAAGAATAAAATGTTTTTTAATTAAAAAAATTCAATAAAGTGTCATTTTTTTCTGCAGGAATCTTTACCAGAAGAACACTTCTCCTCGTATATCAAACTTCAATTTAAACACCAGGATTACAGATGTGCTGGAGCAGATTTATAGCTCRCTTTCTGAAAATATCACGATGCCAGCATCCTTTTATCTTGCAAAATAAAAAAAAAAGGCTCCTCGTTTTATGATTTCCAAGCCAAGACTGAAAAAAGTAAATGAGATTCCCAACATCCCAGCAGAAACGTGAGTTATGCTGCAGGAAGGCGGCTTTAATTCACAGAGTCTGACCACAGTCCGGTTCAAAGATGAAACTCTGCAGGATGGAAGTGAAATTTATCAACAGCGCCGTCTTTAATCACTTTAAGGACCGGGCTTCGGCTGCACTTCAGGTTGTGGGATAGCAGCTCGGGTTTTTGCCACACCTTGAGAGGACTTTGATGTCTGAACGGCTCAGCCCTCCGTCACTCACTCCCTGACAAGCCCCTCCAACGGAGCTGGAGGTGTTGTGGGTGGTGAAGGTTAGAGCGCAAACAGGAAGAATGAAATGTGGCTCCGGCGACTTTTGACATTTACACTTAATGTCAGTCCTGTCCAGGAAGACAAGTGAATCTTTTTCCTTGTTTTTTTTTTTTTTTTAATCGGGGTGACGGGGTTCTAATCTTTTTAAACGCAGAAAGCACGGATCGAGGAATTTAGGAGCCTTCACGGTTCGCCTCCGTCTGCTTCATTAGCGGTCGGTCAGCGCTGCACGTGTTCAGCAAGCGTGCGCTCAGACGGGGGTTGCTTCACCCCTTCCCTCGTGCGCCGAGATCGTGCCTGGCCCCGGGCGCAGTCCCTGCCGGTCTGAACGCAAGGCCCCGGAGCASTTGTTACAATCTGTGGTCCCTGTGCTAAATAAAGACCAAAGCAGGCTGAGGCGCGGGGGGGTCRGCTCGGGGCTCCTCCTTCCTGCTAGCATCCTTTCCTCCCGAACCACCTCYTCTGTCACCTTTCCTCTGCAGTTTAAACTTCCTGTCTGTCTCTGTGGCTCCGTCCTGTGTGAGGGACTCGGCACGCTTGTCTCTTCCTGCTAACGTCTRGAGCAAATCTTTCCCTCTTACAATCCCAAGCTAAAGTTTAGTCCAGCTGCACGTAAACAGTCGTTAACTGATGGCAAACCATGGATGAGTGAAGATGACTGATATCAGGGGCTGCATCCTTCGAAGGACGGTTACATCACAGCCAAGCACCAAAGGTTGTCCAAATTCTAAGGCTACTCCAATAGAACATTTAGTAGTTGGAAATGTATCACAAATGCACATAGCGGAGCCTACAGGGTTCCCACGGATCCTTAAAAAGTCTTAAAAGGCTTTGAATTCATCAATCCAAAAATAAGGCCTTAATTAGCCTTAAAATGTCTTAAACCAATCTTTCTGAGGTCTTAATGTTAACACATTGTAGGATCATTGTAATTTGTCTCAAGTATTAAAATAATTGGTGACATGTTTTAAAAAMAACAAAATATTCTGTGTTYAAATAAACATTTGGTKAAATGATCACCAAATGTTTTTGTCCCATTTGTGTTTATTGCGAATTTATTAAATTTCATTAAAAAAAGTCTAATCTAACTTGCTGTAGCAATCCTGGCCTATAGCTCTCAGGGTCACAGGTCAACCGGGTAAACGCTTAGGTTGGTATAAATGTCATTGTGCAAATTCAACAAGCTCAAAAAGCACTAAAATGGCCCTCCTTTTCCCCTGATTTGAGGGGCGGGTCTGGTGTCACCTTCATGGCCCGCTGTATCCCAAGATTCATTGCGGGCCGACATACGCCAGAGTAAGAGCGTGAATAAAGCTGAAGGCTAGACCGTCCAAATTCACAGCCACTTTCTACCGATCTGGTCGACCAATAAAGGACCCGGTAGTGTAGTCYAGACCACCTAACTCAAGACCAAATCAAGTCTAAGAACCCCAAAAAATCCAGAAACTTAATGCACTAAAACATACAGTAGTCTGTACACTAGCTTAATATGAAGCTAATATTGACTAAATTTGTGTGAGGGACCAGGTAAAGCCTTTTGGTACGGAGGCAGATTGCTAACATTAGCTAGCTAGCTTTGCTAACATCCCTTAGTTTACCTTTCTTTGTGCTTCCTTTCTAGTGATGACAAAAGTTTGACGTGGTCCCCACCAAATCAGTAAGTTTTACATTGAGTCCAAGATGAGACCATCAAAAAGTGGTCTTTAGGACCAACACTGGTATCGAGGACCAGGCCCATGGAGACCAGGTAGGTTGGGTCCTTTGATGGATGCAGCTTGGGTCTGGACACACCTACAGCAGCTATGAAGTTTCAAAAGGCTTCACTGGAGTCACAGATTGTAAGAATTTATGGAGCAGGACTTGGTAACACCTGGAATGGATAGAACTGGAACAGGTGAGTGGGCGGGGCAAATCTACACGCCATCACAAAAACATGGTTCCTAACAAAAAGAACTTTAAAGCCTTTTGACACCCTTTAGMTTTTAAATTTGCTCCTTCATCTGGACCTCCGACAGTTTCTTAACCTTCCCCCGGGAGCGTCCTTGCATTCCAACCGTTCAGAACGTTGTGTAARGTTCTGTCGTCTCCAGTCCAGAACGTCTGGATCAGGCAAGGTCAAGGTTATTTTAACACACGAGGACAGGTTTTGGCAGCGTGCGAGGCTGGGTAAACTTGCGAGCCACTTTAGAACAATTGGTTACAGTTCACCGAATGAGCCGCATGAGTCCTGCGCCTCCAGGGTTTCCACATGAAGGCTCTCGCTGAGCTAGGGAAAGCATCTTGGAACGATTAAAAACCTTTTGTTTCTCAGCTGGAGACGGCTCGATCGCGTCACAAACAGCCCCTGAAGGATCTTGTTTGTATCAATCATTTCCTGTGACCCGCGGGTCGTTCAGCTGTTAATGACTCCAGTTTAATTTTCCATTCAGCTGGCATCAGATTCAAGTTTTGTTGCTTTTTATAGGAGAGCTAAACGACGCTCACTATAAGCTAATTGGATCAAAGAAAGCCACTGTTGTTCTGCAATTAAAATAGTTTATGTTTGATGCAACCTGGGCTTGAACCCACAACCTCAGGATTACAGGACCAAAAGCTGAAAATCACCATATTGGAACATGTGTGTAATTTCTTGGTTTTAACGTTTTAATATCTTCCCTCTGAATAATGAGTAGGGATGTAAAATGTGCTGTTTTATTTTTTACTTCAGCTTTTATTATGTTTGTTCACATTTTAACGAAATTAATGGACTTTAAACAATCTTAAAAAATCTTAATAAATATAAGTAAGTTTTTGTTTTTCTTAAGCT